TAATAACCAAACCAATCCAATTTAAATCGGATCGGTGTGGTTCGATCGGATTGATCGGTTTTTAACACTATTAAATATATGAAATAATGTAAATAAATTTAATATTAAGTGAAAAACATAAATATAAAATACGTTAATATCCAAATAAATAGAAACATAATTAAAAAAAGTACAAATTATAAACAAATTTTTATACTCCTTTATAATTGTAAAAATTGAAAAGATTAAGAAATTATAAACAAATTCTTAAATTTTTATCTTGATCTCCAAGAATAGCAAAAAGAGGGTTGCCACCAGCCTTCCAAGCTTTTTTAATTTTGAATTTGGATGAGTATTTATAAGGTTTTAGAAACCCTAATTGGAATAGAAGTAGGATTTGAAACAGAATAAGAAACTTGAATGTTGGACGCTGAACGCATAGTACTGACACCCTAAACTACGTGTCGATACAAAACAAGAAACAAAAAGTTTGATTCTGAACTATTAACCCATGGTGTCGACACCCATATTATGTGTTTAAGAATAAATCCAGTAAAATGAAAACAACAACCTAGACGACAACCCAGCAAAATGAAGACAACAACCTTGGCAAGTGCACGCCACTCAAGAAGGTAGGGTTTTAAAAATAAAGTTGCAACTCACTTATAAAGGTAGAATTGTAGGGGAATTTGAAATTTAGAATTAAAATTTAGGTATATAATTAAAAAAAGAAAAAATAAATTAAGAAATATAAGATATGTTATTTTTATTTTTAATTAAATCAACAAAGTCATTATCTTGCAAAATAAGAAAAAGAAAATTTGAAATATTATAAAAATATTATATTATTTAATTAAGTTATCTTATAATTGGATTTTTTTTTATAATCGGGCTGTTCGGGCAGTTTGAAAGTAAAACTACAAACCAAACTAATTATATCGGTTTTAAATTTTTATAATCCAAACTAACCCAATTTTATATCGGTTTGATTTAGTTTTTAATCGGATTGAATTAGTTTAGATCGGATCAATCGGATTGGATCGGATATGAACACCCCTAGTTTTCAATCACTTTCCTTGCTATTTCTTTCTCCTATCCATTAATCCTCTCTTTGCTTAATCTGCAAGGGAGTACATAGAAATAACAAGATAAGAAAACAAGCGCATGAATAGAAATATGAGAAACAAGATCTAAATGCTTCCAAACTTATTAGCAGGTGGTTAACATATAATAATGTAAAGAAATGATGAAGGCTGGAAATCCACGTCCCTCCATTGGAATCATGATTTGAATAAATTAATTATTTCTTTTTGTTTGGGTGGCAAGAAAGTATGTTAGCAGCTTCCGCACATTACAAGAAGGGCGATTCCCATATTAGTTTGTTGTATTTTAAAATTTAATTTTTTAAAATGTTATTTTTAAAATTTGAGTCTTGAAGTTAATTTACAAAATGATATTTAATCACTAATAAATTTAACCATTCAATAAAATTAATTGAGATATTCACATTGGCAAGTCTCTTAACATTACCCTTGAATAGTTGAATGTCACCTCATTCTCGCACACA